ATTCCATGTTCCTCATCTGCCACATCTCAGCCCTGCCTGGGTCATCTGCCTGGACTGCCCACCCCCCTCCTCAGCAGGGACTCCACCTTTAAGGTCCAACTCACGTGGCTATGAAGCACTCCCTCACCGCCTCAATGCTGAATTAGCCTTGTGTCCCAGAAACACTGTACCCGAGTCTCTTGTGCTATAGGGTGAGGTCTCTGTGAGTCCGCGCCAGCTGTGTCCCAGCACCCAGGGTACTAATTTCCAACCTATGCATCTGAGGACCAAAACACCAAACCAAGCGGCACGGAGACCCCCATGCCCTTTTAGCTTAGGACCAGCTTACTGCAACCAGGAACAGTGGCAAAGTCTAAAAGCCGGACCCTCAGGAGCATGAAGAGAGAGCTGGCAGCTGACTTCCTGTCACCATTTCGCCTGCCTGTGATTTCACAAGTGTGGGGAAGATGGGAGCTGGAGGCTGCCTTAGAAAACAGCCTTGGGTCCAGGCGCGGTGGCTCACACCTGTCATCCCAGCACTTTGGGAGGCCAAGGCGGGTAGATCACTTGAGTCAGGAATTTAAGACCAGCCTGGCCAACACGGTGAAACCCTGTCTCTACTAAAAATACAAAAATTCACCGGGTATGGTGGTATGCCCCTATAATCCCAGCTACTCGGGAGGCTGAGGCAGGAGAATTGCTTGAGCCTGGGAGGCGGAGGTCGCAGTGAGCCGAGATTGTACCACTGCACTCCAGCCTGGGCAACAGAGTGAGACTCCATCACAAAACAAAAAAAGAGCCTTCGGCAGCAGCATGGAGATACCTGGAACTAGGCTGAGCCTGTGCCCTGGGCCGCTGTGCACCCCCAGGCTGCCCTGCCGCCACACTCCTCCCCACCTCTCCCCTGGCACCAGCACCCCGGGAGGCCATCGCCTCCTTAAACTCCAGCTCAGCTGCTCCCCGGGGCTCTCCCTGGTACATTATTTTCCTCAGTCACAGCTCCTCCCTGATTGTCTCACTTGAAAGCGGGGAACAACTTACTCACCCAGCAGAAGCCAGCTCACCACCTTTTTCCTCTCTTCACCTGCCTCCTCCTTCCCCTCCACTTGCCCCAATCCTTCCGACTTAAATGCCTAGGAAATTCCCAGTGACTCACCCAGCACGCTGTGTCTAACAGGCATATCACCTGCTCATAACCCCTTCCCTGCGAACAAAGGTGCCAGGGTCTCTGAGAGCCTGCCTGCGGGCAGGATGCTGAGCCAGGTGTCAGCCAGGAGTCCCTGCCCCTTACCAGAAGTGGCTTTACTGTGGAAGGAGGCTTAACTTTCCCCAGACCCGAGCCCTGGGGCTAATGCCTGGAGTGGGGAGGAAATGAAAGAAGCCAGATGTCCTCTGCTTTCTTTCTTTTTGTAGGGTAATTTCATAATAATCTCTTTAAAAGAAATAATCAGATGTCCTGAGATGTCCCCATGTCTTCCTAGGAAGAGCTCCCTGTGTTTGTTTCCATCCGAGGGTTTGAGACACGCTGACTGTGAGCTGGCTGCCTCCACCTCCCTGCCTTTCGCTTGCCCTTCAGCGCACTGCTGACTTCAGCCCCCACCTCTCCCCACAAACCGCTCCCTAAAGGCTGCCCTTGAACCCCTGATGCCAAATGCAAGGCCTCTTCTTACATCTTATTTTGCATCTCCGCAGGACCTGCTCATGGCCACCATCCTTTAGGGCTTCCCCCACTCAGCTGCCGTGACCCCATCATCCCCCTGACCGCAGCCTTCCCCAAGAACCCCCCACACACAACCCAGGTGTGTCTCTGGCTGTCTTTCCCTCTTGAGCTGGATCTGCCTCTCCACTAAATTCATCCATGCCATGACTTTGGCCAGACGTCATCAGTGTTTCCAGAGTGAGATCTACAGCTGGGCAGTGGGGCAATAAGAGAGAACTGCAGGGGCAGTGGCTCACACCTGGAATCCCAGCACTTTGGGAGGTCAAGGTGGGCAGATCACGAGGTCAGGAGATCGAGACCATACTGGCCATTATGAAACCCCGTCTCTACTAAGATACAAAAAAGCTGGTCGTGGTGGCGTGCACCTGTAGTCCCAGCTACTCGGGAGGCTGAGATAGGGGAATCGCTTGAATCCAGGAAGACAGGTTGCCGTGAGCCGAGGTCGTGCCGCTGCACTCCAGCCTGGGTGAGTGCCTGAACCCTCAGAGGACTTCATCTGCACCTATTTCTTGTGTTAGAATCATTTTTGGTCCTGCTTATTGATGCCAACAAGGCTGTAGCCTCCTGATGGCTGGGTCTGGGGTCCCTCTTCCAATCCCCTGCCTGAACTGGCATACTGACAAGACGTATCTGGGGATGAGGGAGTGCAGAAGAGGCAGGCAAGCAGGCAGGGCTTACCCCCCAGGGGCCACAGCCTAGCATCCATCTCCAACGTAAAAGTCAGCAAATGCCTTGCCTGTGCCTTGTTCCTCCAAGTGAGGAAGGTGGGGACAGCTGGTCTAAACGGCCCAGCAAGGCAGTGTCATGCTGCAGTGGGGGTGCACGCTCTGGAGTGACAGGGCCTGAGTTCAAAGCCAGCTTCCCCATTCACTAGCTGTGAATCTGGGACGCATGAGTTCACCGATTTGTTCCCTGGTTTCCTAATCCATAAAATGAACAATCACAACACTTCTGCCTTATAAAGTTACAAGGATTGGGTTAACGCACAGGAAGCACTCTGAATACCAGTCAACAGCAGACTCTCCAGAAATGTTTGCCATCACCCTCACCACCTCACCCGCTTCCAGCTATGACACTGGGAGTCCAGGCAACCTTTCTAGGTAGGGATGAAATCAGTGATGGGTTTGAATAGATGAAGGGAGCACAGGGGCCAATGAAGCAGAGAAGAAGCCGGACCTGTCAGTGCCGTGTCTCACCCAGAATCCTAACCATGACTCGCTCAGCGACTCGCCCCCAATTCACGCCTTCCCAGCAGAGATGCAACTAGGCCAGTGCAAAGTGCATCCATTTTCTGATGGCCAGGCTAGGGCATGGTTCTCCCTTTGGAAGAAATAACCTAAGAATTCTTAACTCTCAGGCAAGCTGCCTGAGGAAGGGAAGGAGAACCATGTCAACAGGGGACGCTGCCTTGGGTCCAAGCTCAAGAAACAAACATCCCATCATCCTCGTCTACACCATCTAGCCGTCTAGAGGGCAGTTCGCAGCAAACTACCACTTTGAGTCTAAACCACTGCATCCGGCATCAGCCACCTCCAAGCTGCCTTAGGACTGCTATGGTTTTAAAGTCAAGTGTCTGCTCAAAAGGCTATTGACTAAAAGTATTACCTGGACCCCAGGAAGGTTTTAAAATGGCACAGAAAGGCTGGGCATGGTGGCTTACACCTGTAATCCCAGCACTTTGGGAGGTCAAGGCAGACGGAGCACCTTAGCTCGGGAGTTCGAGACCAGCCTGACCAACATGGAGAAACTCCAACTCTAATGAAAATACAAAATTAGCTGGGTGTGGTGGCGTGTGCCTGTAATCCCAGCTACTCGAGAGCCTGGGGCAGGAGAACGGCTTGAACCGGGGAGGCAGAGGTTGCAGTGAGCCAAGATCACACCATTGCACTCCAGCCTAGGCAACAAGAGCAAAACTAGTTCTAACAAAAAAAAAGGGGGGGGGGGTGGGGGTGGGGGCCACAGAAAATAAATCTAAAACAGCCAATCTCAAAAGCTGATCATGGCCTTTAATTTCTCAAGTGTTAACTTTGCTTCTAGCCTTCAGTTTGTTTTTAATAACTCAGTACTTTCATATCAGGAATCTGACCTTCCCTCTGCAAAGCCCAGAACTCACAGTGATATTATTTTACAAAAACGTTAAAAACAGATCCCCTCCAGTCACATCCCACCCTTCCCAGGTCAGCCTGCTTTAAAGGGTTTCAGACATCTCTTATATTCCAAATGATGAGTTTCTTCATCTGACGCTGTCAGTCAAGGTCTGGAAGCAAATGGGCACAAAAGCCAGTCCAGTCCACTTTGATTCGCCAAGAAATATTAACTATTTCTTTTCCTGAGCCACAAATTCAGCCTCCGTAATAAAGCCCCAAAGAAAATCCAACTTACATTTTCTAAAACCACCGGACCCAAATATAAAAAAAAAAAAAAAAACAACTCCCCTCAGTAAAAACAAAACGGGTATTTCATTTGTTCTGAGCCCTTTGGCAGGACCCTTGAAAGCCTATCCCAGTCTGCAGAACTGACGGACCCTACTGGGTTAGAAAAGTCAAGTCTTGGGAAAACTGACCCAGAAGTCTAGCAACAGAGAAACGTTGTGGAAACAATGGATCCTCCACTCCAAAACGTCAAGAGACAACGCACGACGATAAACAAAACACCTAAATACGGAAACGCGTTTACAAATTAACGTAACGAGAAAAAGCGGTGAAAAACGAGATACGCACTATGATCTCAGTGGCAAGGCACAGATATATATATATATGCCTGATACACAAATATCAGGGCTGCGGGCACACAAAGCCAGTTCTGTTAGGGTGGTGGGATTATGGGCACTTTGACTTTATTTTTGAATTCCTTATATGTTGCTGTTTTAAGAAAAATTACATAACTATAAGACGAAATACTCGAACAAGTATATTTGAAACAAATCTATAAATGTCAGGGGGCTGGAGTCTGCACGGCTGTCCATGGCTCTGCACCAAACCTCACACGTATACTTAGCTGACCACAGACCCTCGTTCTGCTGGGCAAAAAGTCTGGGGAATTTTCATTCACTCACGTCTACCCACCCCCCAGGGGAAATTCAAACCCGGCATATGGTTGGCTTTCCTGCCACTGCTGTTCTCAGATTTCCCCGTTCTGTGGTGACCTCAGCATCACCGTAACCAGAAACCTGATGGGCTGAGCTGGGCTGATGGTGGGGGTCGGGGAAGAGCCTTACCTTCGGGGGCCCCCTCCCCACACTAGTGACCCACCAGGGCTTCGGCAAGCAGGGGTTCCAGTGTGCGCACAAAGAGATACTCACCCAAGTTATTGTGTGCTGGGGACATCGGATTCGGGGACAGGTTTGGAGAACCTGCGAGGTGAGACATAGTTGTGAGACTTCGCAAAAGATTCTTGGCCTGGAGAGCCAAATTACTGAACACTTACATCAGGGTGGGGTAGCTCAACACAGCAGAACGGAGCCTCCGAGTCCCAGGAGAAGGCCTACCCCAGGCTCTTGCCTCTACTCTCCCTCCCTTGACCTCCATGTCTTGTCTGGAATGAATGGATTGAGTGGATGGTCTCAGAGGCCTCTGGTGATTTTATGATCCTAACCAAGACTCCCAGCTCAGGGCCGCTAAGTTCTCAGCTAGAATAGGTGACACCCTTTTCTCTGTAGCTGACACCACCTGCCCTATTAACTATGGCCTCAGGACAATGAGTGGAGCAGGGAAACCCTTCTCCCAAACTGCAAAGATCCAGGCAGCAGGAGGCCAGTCCTCCCACACATGAGGGGCTTGAAGCCTCCCCAGCGTCACCAGCCACTGACTTTGGTCAGAGGCTGCAAACAGCTCAGGTGCTGGAAAGACTGATTTCAGGAAGCTCACAAACCTGCCGCAGAAGCCCTGCAACTCAGCAACCAGACTGACACTATGCAAAAGATGATGGTGCACGTGGGAAAACGTCTACACGTACCCAAGTCTTACTCTGCTGTGTTCTCTCCTCCTCTCACCTCCGGAAAAAAAGAACTCACATGGTATCGGCCTTCCAAAATAAACAGTGGACACCCTTCCAGAGCAGCACTCTGCCTGTCCCCTCCTTTGTTCCTCTATCAAGGAGGCTGCAGAAGCTGGGCACAATGGTGCACATCTATAATCCCAGCGCTTTGAGAGGCCGAGGCTGGGGGATCACTTGAGCCCAGGAGTCTGAGACCAGCCGGGGCAATATGGGAAGACCCCATCTCTACAGAAAAAAAAAAAAAAAAATAGCCAAGGGTGGTGAAGACTGAGCTTAGGAGAGGTCGAGGCTGCAGCGAGCCGTGTTTGCACCACTGCACACCAGCCTGGGCAACACAGTGAGACTGTTTCAAAAAATAATCATTACAATTAAAAAGGAGGCTACTTATTAACCATCCTGTGGGGTCTGGTTCCTCCCCGTGAAATCTACCAGTCCTGGGACTGCGTCCAGCACGCAGCCTCAAGCGAATGCTGCCTTGCGCTGTTGGGGGGGGGCTTTCCTTTTGCCCTGACTCAGCTGTAACCTCCTTGAGAGCAAAGGCGGAATCACGGATTTCTCCTTCTCACCTGTAGCCCCTAATTTAAAGGGGGATGCGGAATATTCACTGGGAGAACTGAGTTACAGAATCAGTCACAGGGTCTGGATACCCCCGCGAGTCAGCTATGTGAGTTTGGCTAAGTCGTTTAACTTCCCTGAGCCTTAATGTTTTCCTCAGGTATAAAATGAGGATAATATCATCTAGTGTGTGACATGTGAAAATTAAGTGAGGCCATGCACATAGAAGTGCTTACGCCATGACCGCTATGTGGCAGACACTCGATAAACGCTTGTCCCGTGGTAGCCTGCACCACGAAGACCTAGGAAGGCCAAGGGCCTTCTTGAGAGTCTAAAAGGGGGCATATGCAGGTGAGGGGACACAGGGGACAGCAAGGTGACCCTCTGGCCCTGAGACACTACCACACCCCTGGGGGCAGGGAAGCCAAGCGCATGAGCAACTGAGTGAAGAACAGAGACTGAGACAGGAGGGCTCCCACCCGCCGCCCGCATGCTGGCTGGGGTCCGCGATCTAGTCTGTCTCTACTTTGGATAAATCACTCATGTTCACAACAAGGCCCTCCAGGCACACTCAATGAGAGGATAGGAAGAGGGGACAGGGAACAGAGAAAACCAGGGCACAAAGGAGCAAGATGAGGGAGAAGAAATGAGAGCTGACAGCGAGAAATCTAGGCTGCTCTTTCCAATCTCCAGCCCCTCTGGACCGTGAGTGCTGGTAACAATAATCACTGTGCAAATACAGAGAGCAGCAGCGAGGGAAGAGGGAACGCAGAGTGGGAAGAAACACAGCAGCTGGAGAGATGCTGCTCCGCTGGCCTGCCTCCCGTGCCTGTGATGAACAGCTGCAGGCTTGCAGCAGTCACTTGGCATCGGATACAGGAAGGTCTTCGATGCATTCCAGCTGGTTCGCGCTGCTAACCACTCCGCCAGGTGGGTGCGTTTCACGGGGTGTTCTCAACCCAAAGGTGCCACGATGCCCAGGCTGGATTTCAGCAACTACAACGTACACGTGAGTTTCTCGTTCTCTCAGGAACTACACAATCTCAGCCAGGTGCGGTGTAATCCCAGCACTTTGGGAGGCCGAGGTGGGCAAATCACCTGAGGTCAGGAGTTCAAGACCAGCCTGACCGATGTGGCAAAACCCTGTCTCTCCTAAAAATACAAAAATGGGCCAGGTGTGGTGGGGCACACCTGTAATCCCAGCTACTCAGGAGGCTGAGGCAGGAGAATCGCTTGAACCTGGGAGGCAGAGGTTGCAGTGAGCCAAGATCGCACCATTGCACTTCAGCCTGGGAGACAGAGGGAGACTCTGTCTTGGCAAAAAAAAAAAAAAAAAAAAAAAAAGCATTGCACAATCTCTCTGGGCTGTATGTGAGGGCAGGTGGCTCCACTGTGTCTGGCGGCTCTGTGCGTCCGAGGCACGCCTCCCAACCTTGGAATGGAACATCTGCGAGGCTCCCTCTCCCAACCACACACAACTCAGTACACATCCTATGTGGCAGCTGGGGTTCAATTCCAGAAGCTGCTGGTCTAGAGCCAATCTGGTCCTATAACAAATGATATGGGAAACATCTGGAGACGTAGCAGGAGAGAGCTAAACCCAGCCTCTCACGGCAGGAGCATACACATCACATGTGGTCGTCACACAAAAATACTGGCTTCAGGAGTCTCCACTGGTCATCCAAAGAAGGCATTAGTCCCATTCAGCCTCTCCTTGCCTCCCATCCGACTGTCTGAATTGATTGAGGCCACCCCCCACTGCCGCTGGTGACATCTCACTAAGGCACCGGCCCTGCTTACTGCCTGCAGTGGCTCCCATCAGCCCTGACTAAATGGCAAGTTGTCTGTCGAGCTTGGAGGTCCACCACACTTGGACCCCTATGTGAAGGGCCCTCCCATCTTTCTCTCCACTGGAGAGAGTGTACCCTCCAGCCACGCTGAACTCCCTGAGCTGGAGTCCGCTCTCTGGACTCCAGATACACTGAGCTCTCACTGTCCCCACAACGCACCAGGCTCTCCTGCCCAACCCCCATGACTCCGCCTGACACAGCCCTTGCCTACCCTGACAGCTTGGCGAATACCTACACATCACCAAGACTCACTGGGGAGAAACATGGAATGCAAGGTGCTGCTTCTCCCCAGACCGGGTGAAGTCGCCCTGCTGTGTGCACAACGCCATGCGGCATCTTCCATCAGGGCAACCACGACATGGCCTCGTGACTGCTGGTTGTCCTGTCAATCTCCCCCACCATGTGTGAGCAGCTTGGACCCTCGTCTATGCCCTGTCCCCTGCACGTCGTGGTTGCTCTACAGACACTAGAGACAGAAATAGGAGGGAGGGGTGAAGAGGAAGGATGGAAGCGACGAACCCACCGGCTGCTCATCAGTTAAGAATAAAAGCACACCCCAGCCAGGTGCAGTGGCCCACACCTGTAATCCCAGAACTGTGGGAGGCCAAGGCAGACAGATCATGAGGTTAGGAGTTTGAGACCAACCTGGCCAGTATGGTGAAATCCCTTCTCTACTAAAAATACAAAAATTAGCCAGGCATGGTGGTGTGCACCTGTAGTCCCAGCTACTCAGGACGTTGAGGCAGGAGAATCGCTTGAACCCAGGAGGCAGAGGTTACCGTGAGCCAAGATCACGCCACTGCACTCCAGCCTGTGTGACAGAGCGAGACTCTGTCTCAAAACAACAAAACAAAACCAAACCAAAAAAATGCACACCCTGCATGACTGACCTGCGTCCATGCTGTGGTTCATCTGGTGGTCACTCGTTTCTCCATCTTCACTCAGGTAGCCAGGGGGTGGGGTCTCTGGGAATCAGAAGGAAGGTGGTCCGTTAAAAGGCCTTCACAGCTTGGCTCTGAGACACCTTTTGCAAACACATCACACATGCACACCATGATGCAAGTGTCCGTGGCCACAGGAGCCCCAGGACTCGGAGCAGAGGTACCAGCCCCTGGTTCTGCTGGCCTCACCCCTGTCCACCTCTGACTCCCACTTGGATCGTAACTGCCTGTGCTCACGCAGGACCGGACCAACTCCCAAGTCTGAAATGGGTACTCCTAGATCCTCTACCGGGCTACATTCTCCCGGTCCTTCAAGGTGAGGGTGAAGCCCCACCCCCGCCCAGGGAGGCGTCTGCAGCGCTCCGCCTCACCCCTCTCTGTCCTCTGAAGACCTGCAGGCTCAGGCCTGCCCTTTGGCCCTGCTCTCTCCTCCTGTGCAGACTGGATGTTGACTTTGTTGTCCCTAGGGGATGTGTCAGCTCCGCAGTCAAATTGCAAGTTCAACGACGGCAAAGACGGTGTGATCTATTTCTCTGAAACCGCCCCAGACCTTGACTGAAGCCCTCCAAGGTTTGCTCTTTGAACAGGGAGTAGCTGACTTACCCTCGGGATGCCAGGGTTGCCCGCAAAGGATCTGAGAAGGTGGGACAGTAGGTCTCTCCTTCACACTCTGACCCAAGCACACAGGCCTGCAGCCAACCTCAGCCCAGTAAAGTAACCCAGGAGGAACGTCACGTCCAAGTGAGAATGCTCTAAGAGGAACACAGCAGGAGGACTGCCCCAGCCAGCAAAAGTGACTAGCCCAAGTGCGGCCAAGCCCAGCTTTCCTGGAGCCTGAAAGTGCTGGTGATTCACACATTATTTGCATGTAAATGAGGGGCTTCTAAAAACATTTGCAGTCTTTGACTGCAAAGTCCATTTCTCCCTGCAGAGTGAAAACTCAAAGTTGGCCTCAATTCCCACCCAGGTTGGAGCCCCTCGCCCAGGCCTGATGCCCAGGCGGATTCACGGAGCCAGCTCTGCACACTTGCGGCCTGGCGTCAGCTCACTCCCCGCCTCTGCAGACCCCCAGTCCATCGGGGACAGAACGCCAGTCCCGGCCTCAAGGGTGGTGAGAGAAATAGTGTTGCTATTTCCGCTTCCAAAATAAATGACTGCACCAAGGCCGGGCGGAAGGGTCACGCTGCTCCTCTGTGCCAAGAAAAGCATCACCAGTGAGCGGGGAGCTGAGGCCATGGGTCCTCTCCTAACAGGGATGCGGTTCTGAGTCAGAGGCCCTCGGGCCAGAGCTGTGTGCAGAGAGGGGGTGAGCAGGGGATGGCTCGGGGGCAGAGATTGGGGCCACAGGACTGATGTCGGGGCTGACCGCTGCCCCTGCCTCCCAGGCCAGCCTGCGCCGCCCACGTGCCTACCTGGAATATTGCTCTGGGGCTCGATGCCTGCGGGGAAGTTAGTGTTTTCGGGGATGGAATGGCTGTAGTCGTCCAGTGGGGGGAACTCGGCCGGGATCTCTGTGTGGCGTGGTACCAACACAGGAGGTAGAACTGTCCGGGGGAGACAGAGCAGAGGTGGCTCAGCGTCCAAGCCAGACCAGGACCAAAGTCCCCACACCCCCAAGTGCACCGCAAACCCTCTGGGGGGGGGGGGCAGAGGAGAGGTGATGACCCCTCCCCAGCACCTGTTGACCCCACCTGCGGGCCAGGCGGCATACCTGGTGTCTCCACTCTCTGGTAGTGGTAGGGATTCACGCAGACCTCGTCCTTCTTCATATTGAAGGCGAACTCACACAGCTCCATGGCCCGCAGCTCGTGGTGGCTGTGCAGGTCGGGCCATCGCCACAGGCGGCAGTAGATGACATGAGGGAGCCCTTTCCGATGGGACACCTGCAACCGGCCATCCAGGGACCTGCCGGGATGGGGAGGAGCAGAAAGAGAGGGAGATGTGGGTTGCGCTTGCTTTCTGCAGAGTACGGCCCTCTACTTTCAGACACTCGGAAAGCTCTCCCTCCCCTCATTTCTCCCAGACCCAGAGGTCCAGGAGATGAGGGCCATGACAGTTGTGAGTGCTGGGAGGGACCTCAGGAGGAGACAACACAGGCCCCTGTGGAAGGGGAGGACCCTCAGCTGGTAGAGCAGGCCTCGCCCACCAGGCCCCAGTGGGTCCCCCGACTTTGTACTGCTCGTCAGGGAGGGGGTTCCACGAGGCCCCGCACTTCAATTGTGCTTGGAAAAGGCCCAGGAGCCTCTCACTGGCTTCCTTCTCAGCCCAGTGGTGTGGGGAGGGAACAGGGCTGGGGAGGACAATGAGAGTTCTTCAGGCACGGATATGAGGACCACAGTGATGCCAAGAGCGACAGAGTACACATGCTGTCCCCCCTCACTCACCCAGGTCTCCCCCACACATTAGAAAGTCGGGGAAAAAGGAAAACTTGCCTTTCCTCCTTTCTCTCTTTCTTAGTTATTTGTGGTGAGCAGGAAGGGAAAGAGGGAAATTAAAGGGACTTTTATTTTTATTTTTATTTTTATTTTTTTTTTTGAGACGGAGTTTCACTCATGTTACCCAGGCTGGAGTGCAATGGCGCGATCTCGGCTCACCGCAACCTCCGCCTCCTGGGTTCAGGCAATTCTCCTGCCTCAGCCTCCTGAGTAGCTGGGATTACAGGCACACACCACCATGCCCAGCTAATTTTTTGTATTTTTAGTAGAGACGGGGTTTCACCATGTTGACCAGGATGGTCTCGATCTCTTGACCTCGTGATCCACCCGCCTCGGCCTCCCAAAGTGCTGGGATTACAGGCTTGAGCCACCGCGCCCGGCCGGGACTTTTATTTTTTTGAGACAGAATCTCTGTTTCTAGGCTGGAGTGCAGTGGCGCGATCTCGGCTCACTGCAACCTCCGCCTCCCGGGTTCAAGCGATTTTCCTGCCTCAGACTCCTGAGTAGTTGGGACGACAGGCACCCACCACCAAGCCCGGCTAATTTTTGTATTTTTAGTAGAGACTGAGTTTCACCATGTTGGCCAGGCTGGTTTTGATCTCTTGACCTCATGATCTGCCTGCCTCGGCCTCCCAAAATGCAGGGATTACAGGTGTGAGCCACCGCGCCCGGCCTTTCTACTTTTGATACAGGATCTTGCTCTGTCACTCAGGCTGGAGTGCAGTGGCGTGATCTTGGCTCACTGCAACGTCCACCTCCTGGGCTTAAGCAATCCTCCCAGCTCAGCCTCCCAAGTAGCTGGGACCACAGGTGCACACTACCGTGCCCACCTACAAATGGGCAGTGCCGTGACCCTGTGTGAACGATGTCTTCTATGGTGATGTGGCCAAGCAGCTATGACCTGGTGCCCTCACTTCTCAAGCCAGACCAAAGTGTGGTCCCTGGCCAGCAGCAGAGGTTCAGGGAAGTCTGTTAAAAATGTACATTCTCAGCTCCTACCCCAACCTACTAAATCAGAATCTTTCCTTTCATGAAATCCCCAGGTGATATGCATGACAAGGGTCTGGGCAGCCTACAGGACAGGATGACTGGGGAGCTGGGGGGAGTGCTGGGGGGGCGGCAAAAGCATTGTCAGCTATGGGCAAGGCTGGGAGGCAGAAGGCTTCTGGAGGGACAGGAGACTTCAGACGGTGTCTGGTATCAGACAGGTGAGGAGATGCCACTAAAATAGAGTCCCTTGTTTAACACACATTTAATGAGCACCTATTATGTGCAGCACTAAGGATACAGTGGTAAGGAAAGAGACTTCACCGTGAGAAAGGGCCAGCAAAGTGGGCCCTGTGTGCACGGACCCTCCAATCCACTGGGCAAGACCGACATAAATCAAATAATCACCAAAACCATTTTGGGAGGCCGAGGGGGATGGATCACTTGAGGCCAGGGGTTCGAAACGACCCTGGTCAACATGGTGAAACCCCGTCTCTATTAAAAGTATAGAAGTCAGCCAGACATGGTGGTGGGCTCCTGTAATTTCAGCCAATCAAGAGGCTGAGGCAGGAGAATCACTGGAACCCGGGAGGGGAGGCTGCAGTGAGCCAAGGTTGTGCCACGGCACTGCAGCCTGGGCGACAGGGTGAGACTGTTTCAAATGATCATCACCATCATCATCACAGAAACCTACAACTACACACAATGAAAGTGTCCTGAAGGAAAGTAACAGGAAGCCCCAAGAGTACATGACCATGACACCCCACTTTGCTGAAGGATTGGACAGGGCATCTCAGAGGAGGTGATCGTTAACCTGAAAGCCTAAAGGGTAAGTAAGAACCAGGCAAAGGCAAAGGGGCATGGGAGAAGGGCAGGACAAGGAGAGGGAAGGGCACATGCAAAGGCCCTGTGTAAAGTGGAAAACATGGTGAGGCCGGAAGAGCATGAAGGCCAGAGTGACAGGGGAGGGCATCGTGGGAGAGAGCTGGGTGGAGACGAGGCTGGGGAGGCAGAAGGGGCTACTCCACAGGACCCTGAAGGCCGTGATAAGGGGTTCTCCTGTTTTCTTTTCCTTCTTTTTTTTTTTCTTTTTGGCGACATGGTCTTGCTCTGTTGCCCAGGCTGGAGTGCAGTGGCAGGATCTTGGCTCACTGCAACCTCTGATTCCCAGGTTCAAGCAATTCTCCTGCCTCAGCCTTCCTAGTACCTGGGATTACAGGCACGTGCCACCATGCCCAACTAATTTTTGTATTTTTAGTAGAGCTGTGGTTTCACTGTGTTAGCCAGGCTGGTCTCAAACTTCTGACCTCAAGTGATCCTCCCACCTCGGCCTCCCAAAGTGCTGGGATTACAGGCATGAGCCACTGTGTCCAGCCGTGTTCTCCAGTTTTCTGAAAGTAGTATGTAGCCTCTGAGATGTGTAAATGGGCTGTGCATGTGTGTGGAAAAGGCCCCATGAAACTCTGGCTACATGTGACCAACCGGTTGCATGCAGGTAGCAGGAACAGAAGTGGGAGCGAATGAGACGGATGCTCATGAGTCACAGGTATCCTATTAAGAGGCAGGACTGCTCTTTCTTCAAGGAGGCCCAACCTAGGACCCCGCCAGTCAGTGCCATGATTTTTTTAATAGCTGGGCAGGGCTGGCAGTGAGACATATGCAAGCTTGCCCTCTGTGCCTTCTTATGACCGAGGGCACCCATTTGCCTGAATACCCAGAATTCACGGGCACTCTGTGAAGAAGGGGCTGGCCAGATGCCACCAGCGGCACCAACCAAAGAGAGAAACAAAGGGACTTTATCGCGCTCTGCACGCCACTGGCCTGGGAAGGGGGAAGGACAGACAAAGGTCAGAGCTGGGCTTGGTCACAGGAACTGACCCAGAGCTGCTGACTAAGGGCCTCTCGAAGGATGTAATTACCTTCCTCCCATGGGGCCCAAGAACAAGGAACCCCTACAGCTGAAAAACAGTAATTACCAGGCAGAACAAGAGCACAGCCCGGGACTCATCCCTGAGGTATAGAGGGAGGACTGGCGGATGTGGAGTCGTGAGACCTGGGGTCAAGGAGGGTTCTACTCTCCTGGCTGGGAGACACTGGCACCTCATCAGCTTCCTAGGACACTACAAGGTGCAGTATTCTCCCGCCCTCGCCCCGACCTCATGAAGCTTGGTTTCCATTTCAAAGTGCTTCATAAACACCCACAAATTAGCATTATCATTCTACATCACAGCTACACCCCAAATCCAGCCCTGGACAAGTAGGGTGAGCTGCAGAAAAAGGGAGAGTGGGAAGTGGCGAGTGGGAACAGAGAATTATTCAGCTGTTCTTCTCCTGCAAAGCCACGGAGTGCCCACAGATGAGGGAAGTGGCCACATTTGCTCTTCAGGACTTCATAGCCTCCCCTGCAACAGAAGGCCTCGGAGAAAGGCTCAGGCCAGCAGCAGGGGAGAATGAGGCTGGGGAGGTAAGCTCCATCCGGGTGATAGAGGTGGGTGGCCCTCTTGCCTTAAAAGTAATATTAATCATACGTTAATTATTTTGATAGTAACCCAATTTTTAAAAGCAAGGGAGCAGGCTGGGCACAGAGGCTCATGCCTGTAATCCCAACATTTTGGGAGGCCAAGGCAGGCGGATCACGAGGTCAGGAGATCGAGGCCATCCTGACTAACAGGGTGAAACCCTGTCTCTGCTAAAAATACAAATATTAGCCAGGCGTAGTGGCGCACGCCTGAAGTTCCAGCTACTCGGGAGGCTGAGGCAGGAGAATTGCTTAAACCCGGGTGGCGAAGATTGCAGTGAGCGAAGATCATGCCACTGCACTCCAGCCTGGGCGACAGAGAGACTCAATTTCAAAAAAAAAAAAAAAAAAAGCAAGGGAGCTACAGCAATCAAGGCAGTAGGACAGTGGTACAAGGACTGACAAACGGATCAATGGAACCTAACAGAGTCCAGAAATAGTTACATATATAGGGACAACTGGCTTCAACAAAGGTCCAAAGACAATTTGATAGATTTCAACAAAGAGTGACATAACAACTGGATATATAAAAGAGATGATCTTCAAACGACACATTGTACTCTATGTAAAAACAAACTAAAGTGAAACTTAAAACTATAAAACTTCTAGAAGAATTAACAGGAGAAAATCCGTGTGACTTTTTTCAGACAGGTGAGGAGCTGCCACTATAATAGAATCCCTCATTAAGCACACATTTAATGGGCATCTATTATGTGTACAGTGGTAAGGAAAGAAACATCACCGTGAGAAAGGGCCAGCAAAGTGGTCCCTGTCTGCATGGACCCTCCAATCCACTGGGCAAGACCGACATAAATCAAATAGTCACCAAAACCACTGTGGGAGGCCGAGGCGGGTGGATCCCCTGAGGCCAGGGGTTCAAAACCACCCCGGCCAACATGGTGAAACCCTGTCTCTACTAAAAGTACAAAAGTCAGCCAGACATGGTTTCTCAGATCCCATACCAA